CAGAGCTAACCCTAAACCAGAACCATAAACCAGAACACAGCCCAGACGTAACCCTAACCCAGAACCCTAAACCAGAACACAGACCAGACCAGAAAGCCCAGCCCAGCGGCCTTGTTACCATCCAAAAACCGACATCATCACACCAACAGCCGTGTCGGTCTCAGGTTTTGAGATGAATAAATCTCAGTGACATGCTTTTTCCCCCTCTGTAGCCTATCCCAGTAGCCAATGGGGAGAGGCGGGGTCACCCTGGACGGTCCCCAGTCCATCACAGGGACACACAGAGACACACAAGGACAAACAACCACTCACACTAAGGGCAGTTTGGAGTCCAACCAACCTAACATGCAGGTTTTTGGACGGTGGACTGTGCCGCCCCAAAGAAAAACAATTCAACTAAATGTTGTTTGCCGATCAAAACGACGACTAAATGTTTAACAAAGAGGTCTAAAACAAATGCCATTTTTGGTCAAGAACACTGTGAGACGGCTGCTTTAACGCGTCCGATTCTCATCAATGCAACATCAGCAGGTTTCAGCAGAACTGAATCTTTTGAAGTCGAGTTTCCCCACGAATAAGAACCTTAAAATGCAGTGCATGTAAAACGGTGTTAAAAATCTTTAAAGGAAGGAAAACAATGCTTTTATCTCCTAATATGATCATATTCCAGACTAATTGTTTAATCTATATCTATGAAATTTACACAGGCTGCACACAGGTGCTAAATATTTCTATTACGTGCTTTAAAATCTCAATATTTAGTTCTTCTTCTTCTCTTCTGAGAGAAGGAAAAACACACAACAGCCAACAAAAGCCTCAAAAACATAATGAAAATGAGCTTTTGGGAGATTAAAATAGCCTTTTGCTTAATTTAAAATGCTTTTAACTTAGTATGTTGCAGACAAATCTGTCCATAAACGTATTCTTAGTGAATCGTCACCTTGCTGGCGAGGTTTTCCACCAGCGAGATCATGGAGTTTTTGAAAAGCGTTGCGGCTGTTAGCGGGCGCTTTGTGACCTCGGTGATGCTTAACTTCCCCTCGGGCCACATCCCCTTCAGAACCGGGTTAGAACTGGACCGGAGAAGAGACAAAAGCGAGTATTACAAGAGAACGGCACCAAAATGTAGAAAACCAGAAGAATTAAAGGATAAAATCATCTCTTTTACAACTGAGAATCAGCCATTAAAAATATGATGAAAATAATAATAAATAATAATATTATAACATATTATAGATATTATAACATATTATATATAATATATATATAATTATAATAATATAATTATAATAATAATATTATAATAATTATAATAATAATAAATCATTAAAAAAAATAATGATTAAGAACTCGGATCATTTGTTTTGTTTTTTCTTTAAATGTCACCAAATGTGCAGAAAGTTCAATTTTTTACATTTTCTAAACGGATTAGTTCATGATCTATGCTAATAAGCAGGATTTAGGAATTTCCTCTGGTTTTAGAGGGCTTTAGTTTGAATGGGTTTTAACAGATGGGCTTTTTATTGGACGGTTGTGTGCAAACATTTGACTTTCAGAGCAGAAATGGAGCAGGCTGGGGGGGGTGCATGGGGGGGGGGTTTGGAGGCGTCTCCTCTCCGAAAGGTGTAATTTTCTGCCTGGAAATTAGGGTTGTCAAAAGTAACGATACTGAAATGTTGTATCCGGATACGATACTCATTTTCAAAAGTAGCGAGTAGCAAAATTTAGCTTTCAAACACTTAATTAAACTCTATTTTAATTAAACTCTAATTTAATAAATCTGTTAAAATAGTGGATGCTAAATAGGTTTGTACAACAAGTCCAAACAAGTTTAACCAAAAAATATTTATTTCTCAAAATTATGAAGGCTGGAGGGTTAGGGTTAGGGCCATTAATGCGGGCCACCAGTCGGGATAAAATCAGTAACAGGTCAGTTTGAAATAAAAGACACTAACCTGTCAAAATTCCGTTAAATTTGGGGGTCTTTGTTTTTATCCTTGCGGTATCGAAAATGGTATCGAGAATTGAGTATTTTCCTGAGTATCGGTATCGAGTTGAAAGATTTAGTATCGTGACAACCCTACTGGAAATGACTAAAACGGTGCAGGTCACCTGTTGTACAGCAGCCTCTTGAAGTCCTGGAACAGGGTGTCCTTGTTCTTATCGATGAAGCCCACCACGGAGTAGCTGTGGAGAGAAAAGAGGCGGGTAAATTCACGAGCTTTGATATTCCACGTTCGGCCAACCACAAACAGGTTCAGGGGGAGCGTTAGTCATGAAGCATCACACCCAGAGATCCATCATGGCCGCCTGAGCCCCCCCCAGGGGAGCGGCCATCACAAATGGGCTCCACACATTTCCAGGAAGCTTAAGGATCCGGATTTAGTCGCCTGGATCAGGTCCAGGAGCTCTGGGCAGAGGGAAGAGGGGCTGCCACTTTTGGGGGGAAATCAAGACTTTGTTTACATGTTTGACTCGGTCCAACATGTGTGTTTGTGTGTGTGTGTTTGTTTGTTTGTTTGTGTGTGTGTGTGTGTGTGTGCGTGTGGGTCTATTGATTTCCCAGCATCAGTCAGGTGGGACTCGGCTCAGAAAGACCTGCTTGGGACCTTCAAATCAGGCAATTTAGGGCCTGGAAACGACTCAGGAATATAAAAAAAGAGCTCAAATAGGGCATTTATATCTATTTTGGCTTTAGTTAATAGAATATCAGGAAATGTAAAGAAATTTCACCTACTTACATCAGTGTTTTTATGCAGATGGAGAAAGAATAGATCCAATATTACAGATAAATCATCACATTATTGTGAGTTTCCACTGTTTTGCCGGGCAATTACTCAGTGACATTGATACTGATGCAGTGAAATGTGCATCTAAACTGAGTTAAGGTGTAATTATGGTGGTTTTAGACCCCTAAACAGAGAGTCAGAGGCTCAAAAAGAGGATAAAGGGGACACTTACACCACGTCTCCAGCGTAGTGCCTGATCCGAAAGTCTCTGTCAAACTCCAGACTCTTATCGGTGGGCGAAAGCTGCAGAAGACAGAAACTGTGAGGCAGAGAAGATACGTTTCTTATAAAACTTCGAGTGACTTTGCAGTTTAGTCATCAGTGTATCGCTTCATTACCATTAGAGGGATTTATTTTACAAGTTAAGCCTTATAAAGCACCAATGAAAGGACGCTGTAAAATCCATAATTCTATGTCTGTGGATCAGAATTATCCACCCTGTTTACAATCATAATAACAGCTATTGTCAGATTAAGTTGGAATAAATAAATAATAACATGGCCAAGAGGGGCGGAGCCACTGAGTGGCTTAATGTCCGACCCAGGAAACGAGACCCTGAACACTCCTCTAAAGTCCATAAACGACACGGTGTCTAAATGTCTTGATCAGAACATCCAAAGTTCTGATGGTACATGGTACATTTTGTATATTTTATTTTGTTAAAACCTAAATAAAGTTCAAGTCATAAAAAAAGAACATCCAAAGTTCTCCCTGGATAATTGCCACACAAAAAAAAACAACAACAAAACAGCAGCAGCCCTCACAAAGGAGAGGACTCCTGATGAGGTGAGGATTATTTCTAATTGAAATGTTCTCTGGAGAGCAGGAAAAGCCTTCTGGTAGCCACATGCTACCAGAAGGCTTTTATAATGGTTTAATCCGCTCTACTCTAAACAGAAATCTAAATCTAATCCAAGGCCTGACTTGTAAGCAGTGGAAATAAATTAAATGATATATTCCAGAGCAGAAAGATGGAGATGGATGGCTCCTCACAGTATCTTTTCTCTCTGAGTCCTGAGGAGAAGCTGCGATTAGCATATGAGGGGAAGAGGTTGCAATGAGGACGGAAGAAAAGCGTGGACAAGAACTCCAACACGCAACTTTCTGCGCTGATAACTTTAAAACTGCAAGAGATGCTGCAAATCTGATGGCTGAAATTGATTTATGACACAATTCTGCTCTTCTCCGATATGCTACATGACAAGCTTCCCGTTGGAAAAGCTCACACTTCATCCAAGATGGCGGCTTTCAAGATGGCGGCTTTCAAGATGGCGGCCATGTTCCAAACATAGTAACTGGTGGGGTGTTCAGACCTGTAATTCCCCCTTTAATTCCTTAAATAAAACTTAGTCCTGATACTTTTGACTCCAAGATCTATTGTATCAAAGATTAAAACAATTTTATCTTTTTTGGGGAAACATTCTGAGCTATCGTCTCCTTTCATGCCCAGTTTTCACTTTTTATGACGACTCCATGAGCTTTTCTGTATAAATGCCCATTTATACAATTCAAAAACTGATCATTTTTTATTTCCAAGTGGGAAATGAATCCAGAATTAAACATAACAAACCAAATCTTTAGATAGAAAACAGGAAACAGTTTGTACATTTTAACCACAAAACATAACCCCCAAAAAAGTGGTTTCTTTTGCTCAAAATGAGAACTGAGAGGATAAATGAGTAAGGACATTTAAAACCTTTCTTATATTAATTTTACTTGTAATTAAGCATTTATAATCTTTTTAAAAAACTGTTATTTTTGCACAGATGTGCCCATGAGAAAGGGGTTCCTCGGCTTTGGGAGGAAAAGACGCATGTGGGCGTCAGGTTGTTCTCCTGGTGTGTAGCATGTGTGCGTTTTGTGTGCGTTGTGTGTGCGTTTTGTGTGTGTTATGTGTGTGTTGTGTGCACCACATCTGGGCTCAGCAGAAGAAGAAGAAGGGAGAAGGAGGGCAAACTTTCCCCGACACGCTCCCGTCTCTGATCTATTTCTGTCCCAGCTGCCGGAGCAGCGTGTTCCACTTACTGTGAAAGTGTGCGGTGACTCACACAGGCACTCAGACGCACACAGACCCACACAAACGCACAAAAACACACACAAACGCACACTCACAGACCCACACAGACGCACTCAGACGCTCACAGACACACACAGACCCACACAAACACACAAAAACACACTCAGACGCTCACAGACCCACACAAACGCACTCAGACCCACACAAACACACTCAAACGCACACAGACCCACACAAACACACACAGACACACACAAACACACACAGACACACACAAACGCACACTCATAGACTCACTCAGGCACACAGACCCACACAAACACACACAAACGCACACTCACAGACCCACACAAACGCACAAAAACACACACTCACAGACCCACACAGACGCACACAAACACACACAGACCCACACAAACACACTCAGATGCTCACAGACCCACACAGACGCTCACAAACACACACAAACACACACAGACGCACACAAACACACACAGACCCACACAAACACACAAAAACACACTCAG